CACACACACACACACTCACACACACACACACACACACACACACACACAAACAGACACACACACACACACACAAACAGACAAACGCACAGACGCACACACGCATTCTTCACACGAGCACTTCGCTGCATGTACCCAACCAGCATAGCGTACAGATCCCTTCGAAAAGGACTGTGCTCTTTCCGACGGAGCGTGGACGTGATTGAGATCGGGCACATGGGGCGAGTGCTCAGTGTGAATGATCGAGCAAGCCATCGATGAAGCGAGCTGTACCTCACCCTCAACCCCACCCCCCACATCTCTTACAGGAAGACATGATAAAATTAAAGAAACAACAGAAAATAAAGAAAAAATAAAGACAATGATGAAATTAAAGAAACAACAGAAAATAGAGAAGAAATAAAGACACCTACTCGACAGCCACATGCCGCACATATTGCTTTGCGATTTCAACTTTTAGTGAAAACAAAAACAAAAACGAGAATGACAGGCGAAAAAGAATTTGAGAGGAAAAAAAAAAGAAAAAAAAAAGAATACAGGATCCAATTTCAAAGAGAACATTAAGTCGAATGATATGGAAGCTAAAGAATTGAATTTCAACTTTCACAAAGCGCCACGGAATTCGATTTCCTCATTTTTATTTACTTCCACATGATAATGTGGATTTGCAGTCAAGAATAACAACCGCCTCCCGCACTCGGGGATCAGCCCGAACAGCCGTGTATCCTCTCTCCCTCGCGTCTCTCCCTCGCGAGGAATGTCGGCCTAAGACCACGACGACAGCCTGCTGCTACATAGTGTGGCTTGGATTGGCTTTAGGCGGAGCTCCGACTCCAACACTTGGTCCTAATACGGCACATTAAGCCGAATGAAAAGAAAAACCTGACAACTTGCCTCAACCAGCAAGACGCTTCGAGGCAACCCTCTTTACCATAAAGTTGCGACCGCACAGACACGCAGAGAGAGACAGACAGACACACACACACACTGAGAGAGAGACAGAGAGAGGTGGGGACGGGGGTAGAGAGAGAGAGAGGTGGGGACGGGGGGAGAGAGAGAGAGCGGGAGAGAGAGAGAGAGAGAGAGAGAGAGAGAGAGAGAGAGAGAGAGAGAGAGAGAGAGAGAGAGAGAGAGAGAGAGATTGCCCTGATGCGGTCCTACAAATGGTGCCAGCAGAATTTTTCCTTCGGGAAAGACGCTAATCTACTAATAAATGCCACCCCCATGGGATGGAGAGACGCCATGTCCGACTAGGCAAGCGTGAAATTTCGTCGCCGGGCGATTCGCCTTTCCGAATGCCGTCCGACCTCCATTTGCACTACATGTCATGGCCATCTCCATACGTGTAATACGAGGCATGCATTCGATCTTGAATGAGATCAATCAATGATCTGATCCAGTACGGCGTCAACAGACAGCAACTCCTTGCACTGACACTGTCAGTCTCTCAATCCCGCTCAGTCAGAAAGCAGGCGAAGCGCCTACAGGCTACAGGCCATACGACGCACCCACCGAGAGCGCCTGCATGAACAGACAAGACGAACGTCACAGAGAGCTCCTCCTCCTCCTCCTGCTCCTCCTCTGCCGTCCATCGAACGCAGCGTTATTCCATAGTTGTCCATCGCCATGAACTTTCAAGATCATTATCACAATGCCAGGCTCGGCGCCGGTAAAGACCCGGACCCTGAGGCGGCGAAAGCCCCAGAGGCTTCCCGCTCCAGTTGCTCGAGAAGACCTCTTCCCTCATTCTGCAGGCAAGCGGAGGCTTCATCTGCAGTGACACCGGTGTAGGCCTCGATGGCAGCTACTAACTTGTCCACGCAATTCGGGTTGTAGTCCACCGCCTCCATTCCCACAGTCTGCATAGACTGGCAGCACAAATCGCTGTTCCCGATGCTACAGAGTGAATTGATTGGATCGAGGCTCAGCTTGGTGATATGCACAGGGCACGCATCAGCCGCATCTACGTCATATGCAGGCGCCGCAAGGCAAAGCAAATGACAGGACAAAATCACAATCATGGCAATTGAAGCCATAGCCGCCAAGCTAGATCGCGCCATGGTGATGGTGGAGAATGCAGCTTCTACCTCTCTTCCTGTTCGGAGAACGACGGTGAAGCTGGATGAGCTGTCGCGCTTGCTGCGACGATAACGCTATGCACAAGAGGAAGAACAGTAATCGGCCACAATCGGGTACTCACGTACCGCAAAAGCCGCGCTATTTCTTTCTTGTGTATTTTCTTGCAGCAATCTACTATATATATATACGTGCATTTGGACTACGCCCTGCATTTGGACTCCGGCGCCGCCTCCTGAGGTTGCGGACGGAGAACCGGGAGAAGTGCTTCCCGCCTTTTTTGCGAGCATCTTCCCGCCTCCTGAAGATACTGGGCCTCGACACACCACTGTCCAAACGGGAAAAGTTCGAGCGCATGTTTCCGCAGAAAGTGGCAAGATGCATTCGTCCCTATGAATAGCAGCAGATGCATCTGGCCACTTTTGGGAGAAGATGCGTTCATGCTTTCTTTGTTTCGACAGTGGTGTGGCGAGGCACACTGTGCCCTTTGGCGCCAACTTCTGCAACGTGACCTCAGCAGTTTCGAACTGACCCATCGCGAGGCCGGCCATAACTGCAAACACCCTTGCGCAGGGGCCATGCTAACCTTCTCCGTCTCGTTCCAATTTTAAGGATGGTCCAAAAAAAAGGAGGGGAAAACTGCAAACACAGCAACGAGCGGTGCGGAGTGCTCTGCTGGCGCGGAGCCGTCCGTCAGAACAGCTCTCACCACAGCGACTGCAGTCTGTCTGGCGCGATGGTCGATCTTGGTCTACGAGTTCGGCGGGTTTGCTCTTTTTCCCTCGGGGGAATCTCCTAAGGACGACGGCTCCTCGACTCCTGCATGGCTGGTAACAAGGTCGCCTATTGGGCCTCTGTGCACAACACTTCAATCTTGAAGAAACAAGTGTTGGGCACCACCGCACTTACACTTGAAAACGAAGCTTGGAAACAGCTTCAAGAGCTGTCGGATCTATGCTAGATTCTTCAAGAGTGTGTCATAGCTGCAGTCAGGGCACACTCAGGGCATACTCACACTGCCACCCAAAATCCGCATATTTCCGCAAATATGCGGATTTGGGAAGGGCCTATTTGAGGTTTTGGGTATGGTTCACCTGACACTGCTGTACCTTTTCAGATGGGACAAGGTCGCCGCGGTCTGGAGAAATGGGGATTTGGTACTTGGCTGGTGGCCATCCACAAATTGTGCAAGAACTTTTGTCAGCAAATTTTGGCAATTTTCAAAGAAAATGCGAAAAATGAAATAGGGCATTTGCGATCACCTCCAGAGGTGACCGGAAAATCCCTTGCCCCGTGGTTTCCCACGCCGCTGACAAATGGGCATAGGAATATAGGTAGATCCGTGTGACCCAGACTGAACCAAGATCTCTCGTGTGGTCTCCAATATGAAGCAACGACCAAAGCAAGAAAAGTAAAACAGAGTCCTTCCCAATAACTACCGAATCCAAAAAAAAATCTTTGAACGTCGTCGCGAGCAGCGGGATGTCGTTTTCTGGGCTAAAAGGAAAGGAAAAGAGCATGTTGTATCTCGGTTTCACACGAGGGACCAACGGCGTTCGTCAAAAAGCTTGGCATCCAAATCGGAGGGCCGCAGTCTCACCGCTTTCTCCTTAAATTCCCCTTCGCGGCATGTCCGAACCGCTTATGATGTCCAATAATTAAACCCTTGAGCTCGGCAGCGCTCGGACTGACAATAATCGCTCCACAGTGTGCGAGGCCAGTAGAGAGCAACGGTTGGCCGTGGGATAACAATGAGCTCGTTGAAAGTAAGTAAACTGGAATAGGGAGCGAAATGAGTATCTACAATCACAAAACCCGAATTGACAAATATAGAACACTGTGTTTCGGATGGAAAATAATAAGGGTCGTCAATTTGGGCTACGGTTTCTTATGCGACTCACTCGTTGTACAAGAAAGGTCGTGGGCGGGAGTGTTTGAGAAGTCGGCGCCTTAATGGCTCCGCTGGTTCAGTCCGTATACATACACACGCATCCACCGTTCACAAAACAAAGCGACTAACCCCCATTAACTTTTGGGAATCGCCTTCGCAGAGGAAATCAGGCAAATTGAATACAACGTAACTTTCATGCCCGATGTTTCTATACAAATGGGGATTATTCAAGAAACTAATCAATAACTTTAGATAGACACTTTCAAAGAGATAATCCTGGGTGTTTGAAAACAATAATAATAATAATAATAATAATAATAATAATAATAATAATAATAATTACTCCGATCATTACATAAGGTCGAAGTGACACGAAGAGCAAAGATGTTCACTGTTTAGCAGCTTTAAGGGGTGCCCGTTCCAAAACCCTCTGATCACGTTCACAGACGAATCATACTTCTAACCATACAAGGGTGCATTAATTTAAAGTAAAAACAAAGAAACATTAGTTGACCGTACTTTGCGCTCGTACGCCAAACGAGCATATTAACCGTTCGGCTTGTTACTCTCTTATGGCAAATGGAAAATTGTAATGAGAGAAGCGTCCGCTTCGCTACTCGACAACGCAGAGGATAACTACCAAAAAATCCGAACTACAAAAGTGTAAAAGAAGACAACAATCATCCATTCATCCATCATTTATACATAACCTCAAGAAAGGTTCGTAAGAGAGAGAGAAAGAGAGAGAGAGAGAGAGAGAGAGAGAGAGAGAGAGACCAACAGACAGACAGACAGACAGACAGACAGACAGACAGACAAACAGACACAAAAGGACAAAGAGAGAAGGAGGGAGGGGGGGGGCGGGAGAGAGAGAAAGAGGGAGAGAGAGAGAGAGAGTGTGAGAGAGAGAGAGAGCATACACACTAGCATTGAAAAAAACATCTAATCAGATAACCTTCACAAGTCACGCACGTACAACCACCATTCATTTATACATCCATGGAAAGAAAGCGAGAGAGGGGAAGAGGGAAAATATACACTTGCTTGATTGAGAAGGGAACCATAGTGTCTCGCTCTATAACTTAATTTGAAATATCAGATGAGGAAGAAGAGGACTAGACACAAAACCTTTCGCTCTCTAGCTATAGCCCCGGGCCATTCAACCAACCATCAATACACCTCACCTCGCTCGAGCACTGACCTACGAAACCACGTGTTGAAGTTCATTGTACGCAAGTTTTGCGTTCAGAATCAGAACGCTTTGAACATGCATTCCCAACTTCAACAGGTTTGTGACAAAAAAATAAAGAGGAAAAAAAAAAAAACTTACCGAAGTCTGTAATGTGTATATGTGTGTGTATGTCTGTATATGTGTTATCGTCTTCGTTATACATTAAAAAAAAACATAGTTATGCCAGACTAGGTATGTCTGTGTATGTGCATGTGCGCTTTTACAGTTCATACTCTCTCTCTCTCTCTCTCTCTCTCTCTCTCTCTCTCTCTCTCTCTCTCTCTCTCTCTCACACACACACACACACACACACACACACACACNCACACACACACACACACACACACACACGCACACACACACACACACACACATACACACGCATACAGACACACACACACACACACACACACACACACACACACACACACATATACACACGCACGCACACACACACGCACACGCACACGAATACACACACATACTCGACCATCTGCGTGCACCCTTTCCTCTTTTTAAACAATTGTAAATGACAAAAACGACGAGAGAAAAAACGACGAGAACAGAAGAGCTCACATAACATGTTATTCGGTAAATAAAGACATTATATTTTCAATTGGTACTCACAAACTATTAATTTTATTTTTAAAATCACCATATTTTATACTTCAATCAAACTTAGGATACGAGTAGTGAACCCGAAGAATGCAATTGACATGCCACAAATTGAAATTGAAGTAAAGATTCAAGGCAATCACACACTGAACATGATGAATTAAATATGAATTTCATTGCACTTCCATAAAATTTATAACTTAAAAGTCGTAATTGACATGGAATTGTCAGAAATTGAAACTCAAGAGAACATTCAATCAAATGAGACACTTAAATAACTTAGATTGCAAAAGAACAGAAAATTGTCCATACTAAATATCCATCTGTTTTATATTAAAAAAAAAAAAAAATCATCAAGTTAAATAACTTAAATTATAAAATAAATAAAAATAATTTAATTGCAAACAATGAGCAACAAATACAACGACACCAATTACAATGATTTAACAACAGTGTTTCGATATTAACTTTTAAGTTTTTAAAAATAGAGGACTTCAATTTCTTAGTGAAACCTCAATAACATATTCATACAATCTACAAAAATCGTTAAGCTAAGTATCACACTTCACCTTGTTAGAGGAAATTATGAAGGAGGAAAAATAAAAGAGTATGAAATACGTCTGATAATCACCACGACAATGAAAAGAATTAAAAAAAAAAAAAATCACAATATACTGACCTTCAAAGAGTTATATTAGTCTATCGCTGAAAGTGATAATCAATCCAAACTAAGTCACATTGTCCACAAAATTTACACCTATTGAGTATCAGCTATCCCAAAACAGGCAAATTAGACAAATAAGGGGTTTTGCCACTTTTTGGGTACTTCAACCATTAGTAGTCTGCAAAGGTAAGAAAAAACACTCACATCGTCGTCGAAGTTAAACCAACCATCGGAGTCGACAATCCTAATCCTAACGCAGTGTGATTATTTTCGAATTTTAATAAGATTTAACTTAAGAAAGAGCATACTCAAAGTGCATCGAATCCTAAATCGCATAAGCAATTGAGATAGTTCCAACAACAACTAGGTTGTTGGATCGGATGTCGGGGACCCCCCTGACCGTCCGGGATGTCCGACCGGACGTCTGGTCGTACGTCCGACCCGACAGGGGTTGTCCGACCTAGCGCAAAAAAAAAAAAAAAAAAAAAA